CTTCCCCCTGGCCTCGCCCCCTTCTTGTCCAGCCAGTTGCCCACTCAAGTCCTACCAGCTCGTTGTGCAGATTCTGTGGACTGGCCAGGACAGTTACCTCTACTGCTGCATCTTCATGGACAACTACAGGCAGCCCTCGGGTTACGTCGGACTTGATGTGTGTCATTCCGTGGTTACGTGGCCATCTCCCATTTATTTATAAAAAAAGGTTCCATCATTTCAACATATGTACATATGTGCTTTATGGTTTTTATTATTTACCACAAGTAAAGGTCAGGAATTGTTCTCTTTTAAATTTTTTTACTGTTTCACTTCATTACTGCTGTGTGTGTGCTCCATGTGAGTGACGTAGGTGCTTATGTAGGTGGGTTCCGACTTAACGGCGAAAATCGAGTTACGTCGCCGTAGGAACGGATCTCCGACGTAGCCCGAGGACCTACTGTGATTACATTGACACAACAGACATGTTATGACCACCTTCTAGTTTTAACCAGTATCCTACCTGATTTCATCCTTTCCCTTTCTTGCAAAACGGCAGCCGATTGAGTTCAGGGCCAGTTGGGGGTTTAGAGGAGGAGATTACGCACCTAAATGTCATGTGCTGGCCACAGCGTTTATTCTGAGAACTCAAGGCTGAGCCTGCATGCCCACGATGGCATCTGGGCATTCACAGAAATCTAATAATCGTCTTATCTCGTTTAATAAGCATGGCCTGGTCCAGTCACACAACCCCAGGACAGAGAGCAGCTGAGAGCACTGTGCAGCCTCACATGATAATGAGTGCGGCTATTCAAATGGATGCGCAGGCCTGGAACTGAAATGAGGGCGGCCATCTCCACAGTGAGGACACATCGTGCTGCCTGGAACCGCCTCTAATCTGAGCCGAGGCCAAGCCACTCCGTGCAGACTATTCTTAGCACACAGCTCGAGCAGATGAAGGTAATCACACGGTTCTCCGAAGTTAAATCTGTGAGGAGTGCATCACAGTGACTCACTGCAAGTCTTTTGTCTCCATTGTTTAAATTCTATGAAATGGAATGAAAAAAACAAAAAACCCACCGCTGTTTAAACCTGCTCTCGCTGTGCTGTGCGACGAGAAAGCTGTCAGCACTTTCAGTGTAATTGAAGGCCTCTTGCGGTTTACGAATAGTTTGGCAACTGGGAATCGTGACAGAACCGGACACTGTGTGATGTTAATGTGTTTAGCGTGATGGCGCCCTGCATGCGGGACTGGCCGTCTGTAATGACAGTGATGGGCTTTGTCAAACACGGCCGAGCTGCAGCGCAGTGGACAGGAGTTGTTTCACTTACAATGACACTAATTTGTGAAGACATGTGAGGTTTCTCTCTTCTAATAATTTTCTTGTGAGGGACAAGTATGTTATTGAGGATTAGATTATGAAATGCTTGCTTTTTTGACATGAAGCATACTTTAGTGGTGGAAGGAAATTTGTTTTATGCCAAAGTATGTTTTACTAGAGGCCCAGTGCATGAATATGTGCACGGGTGGGGTCCCTTGGCCTGCCAGTGATCGAGACCACTGGGGGGGGGGGTGCTGGCCAGCTGCGGGGAGGGACCACAGAAGGTTGGCCAGCGGGGGGAGGGGCCACGGGAGGCTGGCTGGCCACGGGAGGTTGGCTGTGGGAGCACACTGGTCGACCGGTTGTTCGGTCGCTTAGGCTTTTATATATATAGATAAGCTACGGTGACATCCCAGCACCTGGGAGAAATCTCCAAGGCCAGCGAGATACTCTGTTTAAGCAGCTGTTGAGTTAGCCCGGCAGCGTCAGGTACTCAGTACAGCGTGACTCTGAGCTGGTTGATTGCGGATGCGAGCAGCAGCTGCATCACTACACATCGAGCATCCCTCCTGCCGGGAAGCGGTACTGTATAAGGGGCTGTCTAAAGTGGGGTGAATGCATGAGTCCAGGAATGCACATGGCTCCATTGTCTCTTCACTGACTGATGTCTCTAAAGTGCCTTATCGTCCATAATGGGTTTTCCCATCAATGAGCTCATTCCTTATCTTATTTGGCCCGAGTTCTTATTGCCCACACTATACAGATAAGAAAGTGAAGCATAAGGTTCTTAAATTTATTAGCCTAAACTCTCCCGAAATTCTCTCCAGAACTTAGATCATCTGACATTTTGTGTATTGAGGTGCTCTTTCCGAGGTCACATTGTTCTCATACTATAGTCATGCAGCAGCACCGGCTAATACTTATTGAATATTAACTAAGGGCATAGGATTATGCTAAGTACTTTATCTCATCTAACCATCAATCCTATGAGGTAGGTGCACTTGCTATTCCCCCATTACACCTAAAAAATGAATGTTCTGGTTAATTGAGTAACTTTCCCATCATTGTGTGGCTGTTAATGTCAACTGGAATTGAAATTCAGTCCATCTAATTCAAAAGTATGAAGACATTGTTTATCATCTTACCATCCTAATTGCTTAGAAATCAGTACTTTGCATAGTATTACATCTTACTGTATATGCAATTGAGTCATTTTATTAAGTACTGCTGTGGTATTGTAACAATCCCCATCATTCTTGTGGCCTTGTTTCTGTAAGTGACTGACGGTTATGTAGCATGTAGATGAATACCATCCTGTATAATAAAAGCCCAGCGACCGAACGGCGGAACAACCAGAACGACTGGTCGGCCAGTTGCTGTGACACACACTGACCACCAGGGGGCAGATGCTCAATGCAGGACCTGCCCCCTGGTGGTCAGTGCGCTACCACAGTGGGAGCTCCACTCAGCTGACCGGGATGAGCGGCTGCTCCCCCTGTGAACCCTGGGCCGACGGGCAGGAACCTGGGCTGATGGCAGGCAGCCGAACCTTGGTTCTGGTTACAGTATTTAGAATGTTGTACAGAAAAATCAATTATTTATGAATCAATTATCAGTATCACCTTGTTGGGGATATTACCCCAGAAACCAATCCAGAGCTTGGTGGTACATGGTTTTTTTCTCCCTGATCATAATTCTTCTTTCTGTGGTAGAACGTTCCTCTTCCTGTCTGACTTCTACTCATTCTTCAGGTCTCAGCTTAAACAAAAAGTCCTTCCAGAAATGTGGGCCATGCCATTGAGTCATTTGCCTGAATTTCTGGTTTAAGTGCATCTCACGGATGTGTTTAAATAGCGTTCTACTTTGTGGTTTTCCAGCTGGAGGTAATCTCAGTCAGGACAAACCCCCAGGTGTCTTCTCTAGCTGTAATTGTCCACTCTCTTCCTGACTCAGACAACCCCGATCACCACCTTCTAACCACACCTTCTCAGATTTCACAGGTCAACAGCCCTAAGCCTTTAATTGAAGTAATTTCTCATAGGAGACCCAGGGCACAGCTACTCCTACAGACTAATGAGATTACACGGTGGCCAAAATGCTGCCTCAATTTTTTAATAGTAATTTCCTATAGCTCAAGGATTGGCAAACACTTTGCATTCAGGGCCAGACAGTAAATAGTTTAGGCCTGGAGAGCCCGTCCTCTGTGCTGTGAGTCAGTCCTGCCCTTGCGGCTTGAAAAGTAGCACAGACGATACGGACGTGAACCCCGTGGCTGGTCTGTATACTTCATCGTGAACGTGGAGGCCTGAAGGTCATTTACTGTTCATGGGCCATGAAATACTCTTCTTCCGCTTTTCCAATATGCTTTCCAACCATTTATAACCTCGGACCTTCTCAGTCCATTGGCTGCACAGAACAAACCCCAGGCCAGAGTTGCTCACCTGCTCTGGGTGCTCAAGAAATGCCTGTATTTTTCTTGGTTGTGACCAATTCTGGGCTTAACCAGGACAACGTTCTCTAAGAAGCAGCTGCGTGAGTCTTCATGATCATGGGTATTTCACATGGATGTCCTGGCATATTTTCAGACATGTTTCTCCAATCCTGCCCATGAGAGAGATGAAGTACAGCGTTGGGGGTCCCCTCCGTGACACACTTTCATCCATAGCTCCTCAGCTGCCGTGGGACTAGCCCTCCTGTCTAGTCCAGTCGCAGACCATGCTCCCTCCTACACAGAGCTGCTGCAACCATGGAAACACTGAATCGTCTGCTGCAATTACCCAGCTACCACCTTACGCTTTCCAGACTAGACAGGGGCAAAGTTAACTCTGCTTTGCAGTGGCGCACATTCACGGGGCACTGCTCCCCACTTTGAGGAGGGCGGTGGCCATGGTTCAGTGCTAACCGTGGGCGGTGTGGATAAACCAGCACGTCTGTACTTTATTATGGACCTTACATCCAACAGAACGCTGAGGCGCTATTACTTATATTATTTTGTTATGGTTTGAGATCAAAAAGGAAAGTGTGAGTGAGTTTTGTGAAATAAAGTGGTAACTTAGGTGACCATTCGTTTGAGGACTTCTCACGTAGATGTTTCTGTTGCTTTTTGGACTCTGAAGAATTAAGGCATGAAAGATTCATGTTGGCAGTTTGCCCAGAGAGTTTCATCATCACGGACTTTGAGGTGATGAAATGCACCCGGGCCTGTGCCCGGTGGTTCCCAGTCAGGCCCACACCCAGGTTGTGGGTTCCGTCCCCAGTGGGGGCTCCTGTGGGAGGCAAGGGAACAATGTTACTCTCTCACATCAATGTTTCTTACTCTCTCTCTCTTTCCCCCTCTCCCTTCCTCTCTAAAATAAAATAATAATGATAAAAAATGTTTTAAAATTTGTCAGTTGAAATTATAATGAACTGTAAGAAAAAAAGTTTCTTTAAACTTGTAAGAATTAAATTGGGCTGCAGTGAGGGGGTCCCCACACGTAAGTGGCCTGCGTGTTTGGAGCAACGTGCCCAAGGTCATCCTAGAACGGCTGTGAAAATGGTCCCGAGGCCGCCCAGCATCTCCAGACTGCACTCTGAAAGTCGCTGGGGCCCACTGATGCCATTGTCACTTTATAATATAGACCTCACAGACTGTATTCATGCGGGAGAACATTTTCATGACAATTAGTGCACCAAGGATGTGTTTGCTTCTTTTCAAAGGGCCCGTCCTGCTGGGACGACGTCCTGATCCCGAAGCGGATGAGGGGTGAGTGCCAGTCGCCAGGCTGCCCCGGGACAAGCGCAGTAAGTACCTGCCGCTCCCCCTCTGTCAGGGTGGCATCTCCCATGTTCACGAGGAAATGAACCGAGAGACCAACATGCTGGCTTTTCTCCCGTCCGATAATGTTCGCCAAAAGTGGTGCCAGATTCGGAAGTGTCTCTAACATTCACCCAAACGTCTCCGTGTCACTGCCTTCCAGGGTCACCTTCCTGGGGACCGCGCCGCTCTGGGTGACCGTGACAGAACGCGATCATTTGACTCCTTACAGCAGTGGTTCTCAACCTTCCTAATGCCGCGACCCTTTAATACAGTTCCTCATGTTGTGGTGACCCCCAATTCATTGTTACAAATTGAACATAATGAAAGCATAGTGATTAATCACAAGAACAATATGTAATTATATATGTGTTTTCCGATGGTCTTAGGCGACCCCTGTGAAAGGGCCGTTTGACCCCCACAGGGGTCGCGACCCACAGGTTGAGAACCGCTGCCTTACAGTGATAGTCATGGGATGTGAACAAGAAGGGGTCAGGCCTGGCAAAGGAAAATAACAAAGACATGGTGTGGATGTGTTTCCTGAAGCCGTGATACTTGTACTGCATCCCGTGTCACTCAGCCACGCTCTGTTTGCCCCCCGCCTCCGGTGGCGGTTTTCTGACACCGGGCACTGCACGCAGGTAGAAGGGTGACCAGCTCCCCGGGAACCACCTCTCTGTCCCCCTGCCAGCGGGCGCCCCGGGCTTCCTGCAGAGCAGGTGTTTCTCCAGAGAGACCCTGAGCACTGCAGTCACCTTAGAAGCAATGCTATTATTATGGTCACGTTTGCAATTTGCCTGTTATACCTTTTACCTTGAGAGTCCCTGGGGCCATCACAACCTGAGGATATGTTTTCTGAGCAGTGACCGCGGCCTCGGTGCCAACACAAACGGCACTGTGAGTTCACAGACGGCTGCGGCCGGCTCGTGTCTTCTCCAGGAACTAGGTCTGTCAGTAGCAACAGGTGCGGCGTTCGGGCTCGATCCTCAGACGCCTCCTCTCCCGCCTGCAGGTGGCGCGGATACAGAGCAGCGGGGAGCATGTGACGTCCCTCTCCATCGGGCTGGGCTGGGGCCACGGGCAGGCTGCTGTTGATGCAAATCCTGAACAAGTCAGTGACTCCGTGTCACTGCCCACAGCAGTCACGCTTCATTCAGTCCTGGGTTTGCCGCGGGATGAAATTGAAGGGCATGTTTTGCAGGGAGAACTCTTAAGTACAGTTACCTGCAAGCGCGTGCACACAGATGCAGCATGTGTATCATATGGTACACACTAGAGGCCCAGTGCATGACATTCATGCACAGGCCGGGGGGGGGGGGGGTGTGTCTCTCAGCCTGGCCTATGCCCTCGTGCAGTCCGGGACCGGACCTAAGCCAGCAGGTGGACATCCCCCGAGGGGCTGTAGCGCTGCCATGGAGGCGGGAGAGGCTCCCACTGTTGCCGTGCTCACCAGCCGGCTCTGGCTGAGCGGTGCTCCCTCTGTGGGAGCGCACTGACCACCAGGGGGCAGCTCCTGCATTGAGCATCTGCCTCCTGGTCAGTGTGCGTTATAGCAACCAATTGTTCTGCCTTTTGGTCAATTTGCATATTAGGGTTTTATTAGATAGGATGATATGCAGATGTAACTACTCTAATAATAATGGCGGTAGGCCATATCCTCTGGTGTGCGTAACACTGTGGTCTCCATAGCATCTCTACAGCAGTGGGAGGGTCTTTGGAAATCTCCTCCCATCACAGCCAGTCTGCCTGCCTCTCGTACCTTGAGCTTAGTTGGCAGGATTGGGTCACAGGAGAGTAGACAGTTCTGCAAATCGGCCAAAGGGGGAACTGTGGGGGGAGAGGGGGGAGAACATCATGGCTGTCACTAGTTGCATCTCCCACACTCCTGGGATATCAGGGCAGAGGATTCCATATAAATCAGGTGACAGTGCAGCTCTGGTCCCGCCCCCAAACCCTTCCCACACCCCATCTACAAACCTGGATTAAACGCAAGCACGTGTTTGTGAAGGATGGCTGTGCTGACAACAGTGAAAAAAGTTTATGCACCAGGAATTCAGAGAAGCTGGACTTGAGAGAGGATATCTATAAACTGCAGCCACTGATGGGGATAGGGGGGTGGCAAGCCTCAGATAGCAGAGGTCACAGTGAGGTCAGGGCTCAGCAGGGGAAGAACCCAGATCCCCACACGGAGCAGCACCCTCCTGGATCAGCTGTGGAGGGCTGGGCGCTGCTGCCTGGCTTACTCGGGGTGCAGGTGAAATGTCCCTCCTTAGAACTGTGGGCACACACCCATCTTCCCAAGTTGGGGGGGGGGGGAGGTGAGGCATTACTTAAAGGGAGGCTCTCTAGTTTCCAATAAAAGATGTGATAACCCAGAAAGATATAGTAGTTTAGAAATGGCATCATGTTAGTAACATGAACTTAAAAATATATTAGGGCCAATTGTCAGAATTCACGGATCACGTGGACGAGTCTCCCGCCACTTTGAGAGAGAAATGTGACTGACTCGCTGAGGGTGTGAGCTCCAGCAGCTCAACTCAGAAAGGACAGGGCCGACTGACACCCAGCGGACCGGCCGCCCCCCAACCCCGCCAACGAGGACACCCCACGTTTCCAGTGCATTTGCAACCCCTGATCGTGTTCCAGGGCACGGAGGCGTTTAAACATTACTAACCAACACAGAGCCATGAGAAGTCTCTTAACCATGGAAATTCAATCACTTAGTCAATAAAAAATAGCCACGTGGAACTATGGGGTTAAGCAGTGATGAAAAGGTACCAGACATCAGTTCCTCTGGGAGGCACCTGATTTAGTTTCTAGAGGGAATATTTAATATCACAGATGCTATTTAATTAAAAAGAGGATAACATCATTAAACATAAGATAGAAAAAGAAATGGTCACACCCAACTCTGTTCCCCACGTCTAGTGAGCCTGACTAAACGCTGGTGGGATACAGGCGGTGCGCGCACTCCTGGGGCGGGCGGTGCAGGGGGCCGGTGCGGACGGCCGTGAATTCCGCAGTCGTTGCTCTCGAAGCCCCTTCCGGAGCGTGTGGGGGGCAGCTACCTGCACGCCAGGCTCCTGTGCCCTCTGCCGTGTGCGGGGTGCTGTTCCGGAAGGAGGTGCAGAGATAGGCACTTTTAAGTCTTTTATCTTCCTTAAGTTTGCCAGGTATTTTGAATTTTAGACAGTGTTTTTGACATGATATGTTATATTCTCATAAAAAAGTGTAATTTCTGTGACTTGTATAAATATCCATATACTTAAAATTCAAAAGAGCAGGGTTTCCAGTGTAGTCTTAATTAATATTTATGTACTTAGATACTCTCACCAGCTCATTTGAAATAGCAGTGCCATTTAACCTTGGTTTTTAGAGTACAAATATAAGCTTGACCTTCACACAGAGAAACTGAACCGCATCCAGGTTCACACTAATTGGTGTCATCGTAGGACAGCACAGCATTGGTCCTGAAAGGCGTCTCACTTCATGAAAGGAACTTTTTGGTCAATTCAAAGAGTATGGGCTTAAGGTTAAAAGGGGGGAAGTCAATAGGATATTCTCCATTAGGGGGATTAATTCAACTTTGGAAATGATGTAAAACTACATTTTCTGTGTAAATCTTCATTTTATATTTTGCCTACGATACCTTAGACAATGAAGATCTTTGTGTCTGTACATGTGCTGGGGGGGGGGGTTATTTTTTTATATTCACACAGAGGCTAGGGAAAACCCAGAAGTCCTCCTCTCTGGGCCTTATTCCTAAATTCCACATCATATCTTTAAACAATATTTTTGTTGATTTCAGAGAGGAAGGGAGAGGGAGTGATGGAAACATCCATGATGCGAGAGGACCATCGATTGGCTGCTTCCATTCACCACTCTTCAAAGTAATCCATGGCCATGGTCACCCTTGCTGAGGGGAGTCGGTGTTACTATTTCACAATCAATAGCATAAATTACAGTTTGTATTTTGAGAAGTAATATTTGCCAGAAGTGTCATGTAAAATGACATTTTCTTTTTTAGATTACTTGATTTTGACAGGAGTCGGAGTCTTTACATAGAACTTTTTCTTGTCAGAAACAGTTGAGAAGGGCCTCTTAAAATAGCTCACTGATTTATTTCAAATAAAATTAGATTCTAAAAACTATCCCCTGAACTATAATCTATACTAATAAAAGGGTAATATGCTAATTAGACCAGACGTCTTCTGGATGTCCTTCCAGACAAAGCCACGATGGCAGGGGCCGAGGCAGAGGTAGTTAGGGGCAATCAGGCCGGCAGGGGAGGGCAGTTAGGGGTGATCAGGCTGACAGGGGAGTGGTTAGGGCAGCTGTGGGCAAACTACGGCCTGCGGGCCGGATCCGGCCTGTTTGAAATGAATAAAACTAAAAAAAAAAAAAAAAAAGACCGTACCCTTTTATGTAATGATGTTTACTTTGAATTGATATTAGTTCACACAAACACTCCATCCATGCTTTTGTTCCGGCCCTCCGGTCCAGTTTAAGAACCCATTGTGGCCCTCGAGTCAAAAAGTTTGCCCACCCCTGGGTTAGGGGGTGATCAGGCCAGCAGGGGAGCAGTTAGGGGGAGTTCAGGCCAGCAAGCAAAGACAGTTAGGGGCGATCAGGCTGGCAGAGGAGCAGTTAGGGACATCAGGCTGCCAGGCAGCATGATTAGGGGCGATCAGGCAGGCAGGCAGGCAAACGGTTAGGAGCCAGTGGTCCCAGATTGCAAGCGGGATATCTGACTGGCAGTCGGACATCCCCCAAGGGGTCCCAGATTGGAGAGGGTGCAGGCCGGGCTGAGGGACTCCCTGCCCCTCCCCCCCACCCTGCCCCATGTACAAATTTTGTGCACTGGGCCTCTAGTAAATAACATAATTACTAAACTCAATACAATAAATGCAGAGCTCCCATCTCACTCCCCATGCGGCTTACCTCCCTCCTGGTCCGCAGTGGGCTGGGTCCTGCCCCGGGAACATCG